CAAATTTATAGAAATAAGTCATGAATTTTTAGAATATACAAAAAATATATATATAAATAACTAGAACTAGTAAGAATAATATTATAATTGATTTTATTAAAAAAAAACCTCGATTATTTTACTAATCTATGAAAAATTAATGATGAAAGAAAATGTGATGCGACAAATCAAAATAAATTTTAAAGAATATATAAATGGATGTATCTTTTATTATACAGACATTAGAATACAATGTTCCAAAGGGAAAGAAAATTCGTGTTTTAGCATTAATACATTATAATATATAATAATGGAAGATTTTCTAGTGTGATTAAAAAAACAATAAAAAATTTGATAATACTTTTATATCTTTGCTGTATTAATTCTTTTCTATATAAAAAGTTTTACATTTCATAAAAATTCATAAAAATATTATCATTCGTGAAAAATTTATAATTGTTACAACATATTTTTATACGCATAAGTTTTCGTAACAATGATTTTTATACGAAGTGATTACTTTTAACAAATTTATTAAAAATTTGTAAAATAATTAATAATAGAACATAAATAATAGAAATTTTATTATTCATTTAAAATAATATTAGTATGGATTAAAATTTTACATTTATTAAATTTTTATAAATGTAACATTCAAAAATTTTACATTTATTAAATTTTTATAAATGTAACATTCAAAAACGATAGAAAAATATTTATTAATGAAATTTTTTTATTTTTCTTTTTCGCTGATTTTTCCTTTCATTATTACGAATCTTTGTACGTACGATCGTTTTCAGCTCGCGTCTTAAATTATTGAACTGATCGTTTGAAGTAGAACTTGTACTGAAGAATTTTACAGCCTCTGAAAATATATTTTTGTTATTTGCAACATACTCAGCATATAATATTCTAATTCATAATTTATTAATATATGTACCATTAAATCGTACATCATCAGTGTCAAAAAATAGAGTATCTTTATAACCAAACAGGCTATTTTGATGAATATCTTTTTTAGCTTCATCTATCATTTGATTATCTATATCTGGTATTTCATGTGTATCTTCATCATTAGATGAATCATATTTAAATGCATTATTTCCATTAAAATTAAATTTAAATCTTTGAATGTCATTTTCCACTGTAGACGTGACATGATCTTTAAGATTTTCTAGAAATATAAATAGATTAAAAAGAGATACTAAAGATACTAAATACTAAAATAGAATTAAAATATAAAATATTTTATAATATAAAATAAATACCTATATCATTTTCTTTCTTCCCATGTGTTTTTAACAAACTAAATTCTCCTTTTTGTTTCAAGCTTTCTGTCAAGGTATCCGATACAGTATAATAAATATCCTTCGATATTTCTGGTTCTGGAAGTGCAGATTCTTCAATTTCTAGCGCAGATTTATCATGTTTCTTCTTTTTGGCATTTTTATCCTTAGTTTTCGGTTGTGCAGTAGGTTTTACCTCATATTCGCAATGTCCATTTTCAGTTGGATCATATCGTATCATCAATCCTTTCCTGCAAATACTTAGTCATTAAATATATATAAGATAATGGTTTTATTATTTTTATTTTTTCTGGATCTTTTTATTCTTACTTAGTGGTTTTGTTTTCTTGGCTTTTCACTATAAGTGGTGTTCCTAAAATACCTTCTAAAATATCCAATTGCTTTTCCTTCTCTTTCTGCAAATCACATTCATTGCTATTTTCAATAGCTTCAGTTTCTTCAGTCTGACAATTGTCTTCCACAAAACGATCATCTAGAGTAAATCGTGCGTCATTGCCAAGAGTCATCTATAAAATAAACTATATTAGTATTATCAAAAAAAATAAATATTAGAAAAATATCAAATGCTTGCCTTTTTCTTTTTGTTGGCATTAAACTCATCTTCGTTCCACAGACAATCCTTTTCATCATTATCATCACTATCAAATAAATCTGTCTTTTTTCTTTTTAAATTTGAACTTTGTTGTTGTTGCTCACAAAAATCATCATCAAATATAATTTTCTTATTATTCGTCGTATTATCCTGCAAAAATGATATTTGTATAAATAAGGAATATATCTCTCAGACATATATAAATTATCATTAAAAAACAATATAACGCAGTAAACTTACCAAATTTCTTAATGCTTGTTGTATAAGTTGTTTCTTCGCTTTAAACGCTTGTTCCTTTTCCTTTAAGGATTGCAAGCGTTTCTTTTCAGATTCAGTAATTACATTCATTTCTAAAGCTATTATAATTCAAAAAAAAGAGAGTGATTATATAGTTTAGACTCCTCATCTAAAATATGAATAAAATTAGATTCATTCGACGCGTTTTTGCATGAAACGAAAGAATCCGGCAGAAATAAGCGTCGCTCTACCCCGTAAAGCGAGATATTGATCATTAAAGATTATTGATCATTTTTTTTCTTTTTTTTTATTGTTTCCCTCCGGATGAAGAGCGCTGAATCTTTCCTCCAGCTATGTGTCTTCAATCTCCCCTGGGTTATATGACACAGGTCCTCTTTCTTCTCTGATGATTCACGTTTCTAAATTATTTTCCCTATCATCATTAAAGTTGACGATTATTTAGGTTAAGAAATCATACCAACGAAATGTAGCGACATAAGTATACTTCGTGACCACACGCGCATGCGCTGTAGCCACATGTGCATGCGTATCATGAATGATATGCGCGCGAAATATAAGTATGCAGTAACATAAATAATGATTCATAATACTCACGATTTAAAAGGAAGTTCCAAACAGAGCTATGAGTTTCGACAGGACGATGCATACTACGATAATACATCATGCTTAAAGGAAACAACCTTTGGTTTGCTGAAATCTTTTTTTGACTTGAAGAAGTTGAATTTGCACAATGTGTTCCCCTTTAGCGTTTCATTATTACAAAGAAAAATCAGTCAAAGCGTATAATATCACAAAATCAGAACTCTATAGACACATTATATCTGCAATCCTTTTTTCGTCACGGACAATTCTCGATCTGCTTGTTTGCAAAGTGATAATTGCTATCATATATTGCTTTTATCCCTCAGTTATTTGATTCAATTTCTTGTTTTTATAATTGTTTAGCAAGAATTAAATGTGATTAATTTAAAGTATTTGTCATTTAATATTCACGATCAACAAAATCACTCAGTAATAATTTCTTTATTTCTATAATATTTCTATAATATTTGTATATTGTTTCTATAAATTTGTATATGTAAGAAGTTCCCAAAGCAGCCGACGGATGGCGCCAAAAGTATTATTCTTCGATAGCATGCAAAGTCCCGAAAAGTAATCATCAAATAATTATGAAAATTAAAAATTACGACAATGTCCCGACGCGTTAATGTATTTTTTGATGTAAAGCTGAAATTTAAAATTGTCTCTTATTAATATTTCATTGTAAAAGATTTACAAATAAATAAAAATTTTTCCACAATGGCTTGATATATAACGCTATATTGTTAAATGTACAATGTTAAATATGTGTCTTCAATTATAGTGATTAAATTTATAAATAAATTATAAATTTTTTATTTACAATAACCATGAAATACATTTCCTTTATACGAAATATAATTTCAACAAACTTACAAAATTACATCACAAAATTATACTCTTTGAACAATAAAAATTCTAAATATGTAACAATAGAGAAAAAAAATTAAACGAATTAATGCGATCTAATTATGCATTAATTGTTCAAAAATATATTGATATAGTAAAACATACGTTCTGTCGACAACTTTTTCCGGAGGATTTTAAAAGAAATATAAAAACCTTTAAAGATGTGGAATTATACGAACAATTCATGACACCAAAAGACAGACAGAAATGGAACACCGTAAAAGAACAAATGAAAAACGAAAGATTAAATTCGCAATTAATGAATAGAAGCATACAAGTTTTAACTAAGAAACTCGTATGCCCATCCGTCTGTGTCACAGAATTATGACATCTTTCTGAAAGAAATGGAAGAGTATAAAAAAATTTCAAATGAGAACATAAAGAACAATATAGATATATTTATTAAATTATTAAACCGTAGCTTTGTTACTTATTTATTTGGAGAGAAAAAACAAAAATACAATACTTCATTTTTTTAAAGCACTTTATTTTTTTAAATGTATTTAAATGTTGTATTTAAATGTATTTAATTTTTTTAATGTATTTAATGTATTTATGTATTTATGTAATTTAAAAATATTTACAAATTATAGAAATAAAATTATCATATTAGGACATAATGTTAGAAACTAGAAAATATTAATTAAAAAACGAAATAAATGTTGTCGCATTAAATTTAATTTCTATTTAATATTAAATATAAATATATTTAATATTAAATTTTTTATAAATGCAAATACATTTATTAAAGAAGAAAGATATATCCAAAAAATTGTACATATACATGTATAGTTATTAATATTATTTAATATTATATATATAATATTATTTTGTACAACACATGTAAATTTTGTAAATATATTTTGTACAGCTTAATTAATAGCTTTATTAACTTTATATCTACCATTATTTTAATTATAAAAATGTTTTCCCATATTTTTATTTTTTTTAACAATTATCCGATTATATAAATTGTACATATCCGAGTATATAAATTGTATATTATACTAATAAATGCGCTCGGTGTTTTTTTACTTGACATAAATTTTTTTATGTCAATATAAATATTTGGGAACAAATAAAATCTATTGGGAACAATACAATGGAATTTTCGCCTATAAATCATAAACAGTTTTAATAATTCATTCGAAATTTAACTACCTTTGTTTTGAAATCGTGATTTTCTCTCTTATTAGTTTGGATAATTACAATTATTTATATTTGTAAATTTTTTAAATTACAGGCTAAATTAAATAGAGATAAAATCGATAGTTATTCTTGTATTTTGTATTCCTTTAATGGCATTAAAATCACTTCTTCGGCGTTAGATTCAGAATCTTTCCGTTGCGAATTTGAATATGAAAAGTCTTTAACATTCAGCTTTTCCATTTCCGTTGATTTCTTCTTAGCGTTAATTGAATCTTCTTTATATAATGTATCGTCTGAAAAAGAAGGAAACAAAGAAATATATATTACGAATATATATCTACGTTATACCTCGGTTTTTTCATAACAATTACTACTTAACTCTTAATTATCAATTATTATAACATTATTATCAAAAATATATTTCATACGTTACCATAAAGGATATCTGCGATGCTCTCTTCTTTCTCGATCAGACGAATGTACTCATCATCAGCGAGAACACGGTAACTTTCTAGAATGTCGGAGTTAAGATGCAACAGCCAGAATCGATTTCTTTCGCGGTTCAATGTTTTTGACAGCGTTTCGATACCCTGTTATATCGAAATCATATATAGTTTGAAAAAAATAGTATTATTATTTGCATATTAATAAGAATAAAAATTTATTAATTTTATCTAGTTATTATCCGATACCTTGATTGAAGTGTAATCAAGATTAGTGAATCTTTCACAGTTCACGATCAACGGAACATCATTTCTAGCTACATTCATAATTTTATCGCAAAAGGAAGTTACTGCGGGATAATAAAGACAGGCGTCAGGCTTCAGCATTATGTATCTATTTCCCAAATGAGTCTGGAAAAGAGTAAATAATTTTAAAAGTTTATATAACATAATATATATGCATATATTATTACATATGTATTATATATAAATTATTATATAAATATATCAATTTTATTAAATTTAATCAATTTTTTAATTAATAAAAAAAGTTATAATATAGAACAGTGTTTTTCAGAATGAAAACTAGTCCAGAAGAATCGCGAAGTGTCCAAAAAATTTCCATTTATATATCTGACTTACAATAAAGTATATCGACAAGTTTCTTAACTATTTATTTAATTAATTTTATTATTAACAGAAAATATGAATAAAGTCATTTAAATATAAGACAATTAATAAAATAATAAATAAAAATAAAATAATCTTTAGATTCATTAATTAAATTCGAAAGCTGGATATAAGGAATCACAAATATTTATATTTTGTGCTTTTTACTTATAAAGATATTGCGATCTAAAAGCAATCTTAAAAAACACCGTACAAAGAATAAACTTATAAAAACAGCATTTACTTTGCATTTGACAACTTGAAGCGTTACTCTCGCGGACAGTCGGATGAAAAGAATTAGATTGAAGAGGATACCCAGAAGGAGACCGATCTCGATGCCGATAAGAACGGAGAGTACAAAGGTCCCTATCGCCGCAACAGCATCCATCTCTACAGCAATGATTATACAACATATATTATGTAAGCCTGTCGTCTCATTTCTTTCGGTTAATATGTGTACAAACGTAATACACGCAATACTGACTGTTTCCTTTCCAGAGCAATTTTATGATCTTCAGGTCGATCATGAACAACACGGCGGTTATCAGCACCGCGGCTAGCGTTGCGCGTGGAATGTAATAAAAGTACGGTGTCAAAAAGCTCAGCGCCAGCAGGGTCATAGTTCCTGCAAGGCATAATGTCATTCATTTTGTTACATCCTGTTTCTTGTATGCTTATGCGTCGTACACGTGATCTCATTTTCGTGATCTCGTTTTCACGTGACGTGATCTCAATGAATGCATAAAGCACTCTGTCACACAAAGATTAAAATCGTAAATCTGTCTAATTATACACGAAATTTATCTAATTATACACGAGACGATTAGAACATATATCGCGTAACAATAAATTATGATAAAATATAATATAATTTCTGTTTCTCAATGACGCACCTCATTTCGCACTCCTAGTATACAAAAGAGAGTAAAAATATTAAAAATTTAAATTTATGTTATGTCCTATGTAGCATAAACAATATTACGATATAGCTGCAAAAAAGTTTTGCACTGTATGGAATTAAATGTATTACCGGAATATAAACCGGCCATAGGTGTTTGTATACCGCTAGCACTGCCCACTGCGCTTCTGGTGAACGCACCAGTGGTTGGCATCGAAGACACGCAGCTGCCCAATATGTTGCAGAGGCCAAGAGTCAGCATCTCCTGCGTCGCATTAACGGCAACGCCCATTGCTGCAAGAACATCATTACCCGGTCTCGATTACCCACAATATTCCGCATTGTATATTATCCAAAACAATATAATAAAGAGTTTTTATTAAATTATAAATTATATTAATTGTAAAGATGATCCCTGCTGTCCGATTTGAGATTGAAAATATTATCGATACCATACGCTTTCGCTATCGCTACGTTCGCCAGAACAGATATAACAGGAAGTATTCCCAGGCCTAATCCATAATGAGCGCACATGTCGAAAAACGTGTAAGTTTGATTTCCCACTTGCGATGAAAAGGACGGTAACGATATCTTGGGAAGACCGCCTTCTATCTTTCCTGCAAGATTAACATGTTGACGATTTGTAATGCGCTGTAATTCGAAAAATAACGAAACAAATATTTTTCTTAAATCAATTTAATTAACGTAACTATCTTAATTAAATTCTTATTTACTTATGATATGATACTTTTTGATGAGAAAACGACATTAAAATGCCACTAGAAATAATCTATTTTTAATAACTTTAGTACCTATATCAAATGTAAATTATTCTGTCCCGATCTCGTGGCAGGTAGATATTACTTTCAAAAATTATATCGTTTACTTAATCGACAAATGCATAAATACAATATAAATTATGCAGCTATATTACAGCAACATTGCTGCAATATAACAAATCTGTGCTGTATAAAAATAATAATAATTACCACATCGAGATCAAAATGAAACGATTCATACCTGAAAGTTTAAATGGAACGGATCCTGTTCTTGTTTCGAATTGATAAGCCATCGTGGCTGTTATGAGCACGACAAGAGCATTTCTACCAATGGAAAAATACCAAAGTAGCTTTTTTATTATTGCATTTCTGGTAACATTTCTCTTGTTCCTCATACAAGGATAGTCAATGTCTTTCAGTTTCTAAAGACAAAGTCTGTGAAATATTTTTACTATTGCTACAAATTAATCATTTATAATTTTAGGTACTCACTCTGAAGATTAGAAGAAACACAATGCTGAAAATCCCGAGTGCAAAATCACTCAACCGAATCTTGTTAATATTTTTAAAGAGTTTGTACAGATTGTCCGCGATATTCGCCGACTTATATTTCAGTCCCAGGAGACCCTGCAGCTGAGCAATTATTATAATGACCGATCCTGCCGACATAAAACCCGAAGTAACTGGGATCGATATAAAATTTATCATAAACCCTGCGGGAATAATCACATTTATCAATTCTATATCGGCGTATAATTATGACTATACAGTGGAAAAAACATGGCAAAAAAATGAGTAAAGATAATTGAAACTTATATCGATTTCTACCAATATAGACTAATTTTAATTTTAGTTTAACTTATTTTTTATCTTTTTTCAGTTCTTAGAATAAATTAAAAAGATCATAGTTATCTATAATTGTATTAAAAATTATATGAATTATATAAATTATATGAATATCTGTATTGATAGAAATGAACATTGATTTTTTAGATAATTTTAAGATACGAGCCTAAATTTAACACGCCCATTAATAGTTCTATGCATCCTGCCAAAAAACAGAAGAGTACTACGAAATCTTGCGGCATGTCCCGCGTGTATTGTAACGTCAGGAGAGCCATTAAAGATGATGGACCAATCGAGACTTCCTTAATAGTCCCGAAAATAATGTACAGGAAACCACCCACGAAACAAGAATACAAGCCATACTGTAAATATTATTTACAATGTGATATCTCTAGAAATGTAGAAAGACATAGTATCTTAATGTAGAAATAAAACAGTAGTAAACCTAAAAATATCTTAAAAAGATTTGACACGTATATAAAAAGATAATAGAATTCGGGAGCATATTCTTTGAAGTTTAAAATCATCACAGATTTGGAGATCTAAAAAAATATCTATTTACAAAAACTCCCAAACTCTCTCTTGCTATATAATATGTTTCTAATTGTTAAATAAATATCCATTTATTCACGTAATCTTAAGTAAACGAGTTGTAATACCTGAGGAGTCAGTTCGGCTAATGCTGCGTAGGCCATACTCTGTGGAATCATAGTCAGACCTAGAGTGATGCCCGCTATAAGGTCAGACACGGCCTTAAACCGGGTGTATCGTGGTAGCCAGTCGAGAACCGGTACGTATTTCGCCACTTTGAAACGCGATTTCCGTTCCGAGGTCGGAATTGGCGAGCACTCTTCATCAGACATGTTCCTTGCGTGCGATAAAATGCGAGAAATTAATGATATCCGACGTGGGTATTCCGATATTCTGCTCTCGCGATCACGAACGTGTTTAAATGCCGAATCTCCTGGCGCTCTTACCGTCGGCCGCCGAGCTCTTATCATTCGTGTTGTATCTATTCCTAAATGAAGTAAAAACTCTTGCAAAGAAATCCTATTAATTGCGCCGATTAATTGTAACGTGCGCGCTGTTGACAATTTGATAAACGCTCACAGGGACACAGCCGTCAGGTGCCTTGACAAAGAATTAATAACAGTTGCCAGCTGAATTAATGAGGAGCCACTGCGTTCTATCTCTAATTCTCTCGCGATAAGACTCGCAGCTTCTTCTTCTTTTTCTTCCTTTTCTCTTTTCAGCTTTCCTGAAATCGACAGGGAAAATAGTCGAGTTCTCAGAAAGACAAAGTCGTCTTCGTCTTGCCAAAATTTTATTGCGTTTTCGCGCGATGCTGTGCGAAGAAACAGAGTTATAATTGGTAGGCTGATTAATCGCAGCACGCAGTTACTCGATACAGCTAATTCGGAGATTTCGCCATATTCGGAATCTAACAGAAATTTTTAATCGGGAGATAGTCGCGCACATGGCAGAGAGAGGCGGTGCGTCATTGCGTCACATTGCGTTTCTGCGTTTCTTTTCTATTTTTCAACGCTCTGTGTTAGAATGGCGTCGCTAACTATAATTATCTACAAAAACAAAAGGTGCGCTGTTGAATAAAAAAGTGAAAAGTGGCGTCTCGACGCCTCGCGATGATCTAATAATCAATTATATAATGTACAATAATAATAATAATAATAATAGTAATAATATTATTAAAATGACAACAATAATTAATCTCCATAAATAATAATAATAATAATAATAATATTAATAATAAACGTGACTATAACTCGATAGAATCTCTAAGTAAAAATCCATTTTGAACATAGTGGAAGCGTGTTCGGTTTTATCGCGCACTTGGAACACGATATTTTTGCAGACGGTTGGCGGACATTTAACGCAGTTTTTTGTTAACTTGATCGATCTGCTCGTCGATCCTCTGGGAGGTGCCCCTGAATTTGTTCGGTTCGGGCCCGATCATCTGTATGAGCTGCGGTACCTCCTGGCCGCTGATGTATGTGAAACGTGCCAATGACTTCATGCACGTGTACAATTGCTCCTCCGCGGGAGTGCCGTTGAAGTATTGCAGCAACGCCATTGTCAGCTCCACTGCGACATCATCGAATACCTATAATATACATATACGTGAAGACATTTGGAAATAACGTCGCGTCTTTCTTGTACAAATAAAAAAAAATGCAAATGAAGATATTATGGTTGCACGAGGCACACAAGAATTGTCAAAATATGATATAAATTGCGCTCGCGAAATATTTAAAACTATAAAACTCCATTTCGTGTTTATTTCGAAATTGATTTAATTGAATAATTTTTTTATCATAATAGTAAAAGAAACAATTACATTCAGTTTCTTCTTTCGCACAAAACAGACAAAGAAGTTATATTAAGTGTATCAAACTTAGAAGACGTCTGTATAAATATTCTGTCTGTAGTTTTAACAATCGTTAAAATATTATCAAACGCACGTGTGTTGATATTGAGAACTCGATCTCAATTTACCGTGCACATCGTGTTGTTACATCTCGCGCGTATACTCGCAGGTTACCGATAATAATTGACGACTTACCGCTGCGCACGGTTCGATCTAACATGGAGATTTGGATAGGTACCTTAGAAATGCTGCCTTTCGGTAAAAGTCGCCGCAGATTTTTGCTTTTGTTCATTTTCTGAAAAACAGTATCCGATTTCTGGAGAGGTATCTGTCATCACGCAGCGCTACCCGCTGCCTGCCGCGATTAAGAGAGCTTCAGTGCGCGCATGCAAACGAGCATGTAGTGAGTCATGTATCCTTTGTGCCGTTTTTTTTTTTATAATGGTAAATATGAATATTCTCTATTTTTTTTGTTTGCTCGTTCGTTGAGTTATCTGGCGGGACGTTCATGTTGACGTTTGCGTTTAGTATGATAGATTTATGACAGAGCTAATATACTTCTTTTTTCTTTATTAATAAAGGCAGCACTTCTTTCTTAAGGCACGATGCGAGCTTGTTCTCTTACGACATCGGCAAGTATCGGCATTCCGAAAGCGACGTCACAAATTGCGCATCAAAGAACCGATCTAACTTCAGACAATTTCGATTTGTATCTTTTTCTCTATATTCCTAATTTATATAAATAAAATAAGTAAAACAAGCAAAGTCTACGAAATCTGTTTTGTAACGCAAAAAAAAAAATTTGTACGTTAAAACTGAATGATAATCTTTACAGAATTATAGTCTTCAGTAAGATGCCTTCGATACGCGAAGCACTTGCAGTGATGAGTTACGAGAAAATGAAAGCGAGAAATCGGCGAGAGATGAGAATGTTAATTGGACAGGAAGGATACAGACCACAGTTTTTACCTCCTTGCAGGCAAGGTTATGAATGATGGCCGCGCCACGGATCTGCAGATCTTCCGAATTTGAGAGCAACGAGTGTACCGCGACTTTGGTTGTCACCCTTATGTTGCTAATGTTGCTACTGATGTTCTGATCTTGATGCTGCCATTCGGATATGTAGAGTAGCCATTCCGAGCTGCTAAGATTCTCGAACATATTCGCCAACTATTTCAAGTTAAAATATTGACATCACAGATTTTTGATAAAATTCGAAAATATTACAGTGTATATTCTAATACTAAGTGTATATTCTTTTTATTATTTTATAAAATCGAAAAATTCCAGTATAAAGCAATAGTAAATTGCGAGACATTATTAAATGATTATTATTTTAATAATTCCGTTTGCGCTTACAAATTGTGCTAGTGCAAGTTGTTCCTCTGGTGGATGCCGATCGATGTCAAAGGCATAAGTCATGATGATGTGTTCTCGCCTGTCTTGATGCAACAACAAGATCACATCATCCTTCAGTGCGGCGACGGACAGCACATTCAACAATTTTACTCGCACATCGCTGTCTAATGATTTATCGTAAAGGACTCGACCTGTATGAAACCATTTATATAATTTATATTTTAACAACATTGTGCTTTTAGAAGCAAATATTAAGAACTTATCTTAAAATCAATTTTTTTTAAATAAATTATTCAACTTAAAAATCTTTTTAAAATTCAGAGTTTGATAAATTAAGCATAATTCCAGAAAGATTGAAAACCTTGCACCTGTACTCTTTGATAACTCACCTACGAAGTTCAGGAAATTATCGCCTAAAGCCCAGGAACCTTCATTCTCCAAGACATATTGCCGTAGTTCGCCCAGGCATGTTTGTTCTTCGTCATTCAACTTTCCCTTGAGAGCGTCTACCAGACCATCGTATTCCGCTTGTACATCTATCAAGTCTTTGAACACAATTGGCGGATCACGATGGCGTTTTTTCTCTTCTTGTTCACGCTTTTCGTCTTCCTCCATCTGCATTACTCGCTCAGATGGCAACATTTCCGCGTTTTCTCCATTAGACGCCTGTTGTTGCATTTCGCCTTTGACAAACAATAAACATTATTCTTATAATTATAAAAATTTCTTAGATTAGCCACGTGGCTATGTCGCTCAATTTTTGCATTTAAAAATATAGAATTATAAGATATAGAAATATAGAATTACGATACACTTTTATTATAAGATATAAAAAGAAAACGGAAAAAGAGAAAATAATTATAAAGTTGTAATAAAATAAAATAATCACAGATATAAAATTCTATGTACTTTCGTTTTCCGCCATATCCGCGCAGCAATTGCTCGGTCCGGTACTGTTGCTGTCGCTGCCAGTGGCCTCCTTGCTACCCTTTTCTTTCTTCTCCTTCTTCTTCTTCTTCTTCTTTCGCTCTTTCTTCGCTAATTTTTCGTTGATAACGTTTCTCCGTTCCTCTAACGCGATTGAATTCAATCTGCAAGTATGTGCAAAATTTCAACTGAAATACCCATAAAAGTTTAAATAATAATCACGCATGAAGCTGTACCTTGCTTCCTCGATGGCTGTGTTTAGAAGTTGATATTCCGGCGAAGCTTCTCTCTGAATTCTCGCTTCGACAAATCTCTGGCCGACCGTGAACCCAGCACTTGCACTATTGCTTAATGTTTCTATTAACGGACCTAAGGCCTGGCCAATGGGCCTAGAAATAAATATATTTTATATTTATTGTTGGTACAAAATAAATTGAATAGATATTTGTATGGTTTAAAATATTTATAATAAACATACGTTTGTAATATTTCTTCCGGTAGATCAAGAATAAACTTGGGAATGCCCTTACCCACCAGAAAGTTGCTGACCTCCTCAGTAAAGGAATTACAATTATGCTTGAAGATATTGTACGTGCCTGGTCTGGAAGAATGAAAATCATTTATCGTTAAAAAATTGGATAACTCTCGAGTATTAAAGTTATATAATAGTTTTAAATAATAAAAAAAAAAATAATAAAAAATTCTTAGATGATAAAAAAAAACAATAAAATTAAATCGGATGTGTAATTTTCAAATAAAGAAATCGAGTATTTCTCTAATAAGTTCAAGAGGATCACGTAACAAAATCGAACTTCTTCAAGAAAGGAAATTATAGAAGCAATTCTCGATTTCTTCGATAAAGTTAAAAAGGAAATTTACATAAAAAAAGATGCGACTCAAGTTAGAGATAGTCAGTTAAAGAAAATGGAAAAAGAAAAAAGATGAGAGTAGCGGTCGGGGCTCTCGACAATGTATGTGATATTATCGCTGGCGATACTCACGCGAACGTGGAGGTTCCCAGGCCGTTTATGTACTCCAGGAAGACCGTATAGGGCAGGTAAGTCTCGCCCAGCTTCTCGACTCGCTGCGGATCCCTTAACTCCGTGCCACCCTGAAACACGAAGTGCCGGCAGGCGGTCGCCGTTAAAATCGCGTCCGGGAAAACTGCACCGCGCCGCGCCGTCAATGTCAATTTCGCGGCAGCTGCGCTGATCCAGCGGCCGGTTTCGTTCGCCAGAGAGTCGAGAGGAGAGAAGAGAAAAAGAGAGCGGGAGCGAAAGAGAGAGAGTGAGAAAGGTGAAACACCCGCCTCCTTCTGGCATTAGTGGCAACGTAATTTTAGAACTACGACAAATCTCGCGCTTCCCTGCGAGAAATCGCCGAAAATAGACGCCCGCGGCATGCGTTCGAACCGCGGCCTCTTCTAGAACGCAAAAGAAAGACGCGCCGCGACGGAAGTGAAGAGCAGGGAGAGATGAAGAAGCGGAAAGAAGGCGTTTCTCATGCGTTTTGAAAATTGAATCTCCCGAGGGAACGTGATGGTAGTGCGGTAGACAAATTCTTACCCCGAAAAATAAGTGAAATCGATGCGATTCGTAAAACAAAAGCGAGGAGAAGAGAGATTACGGCTAAAAAATATATAGGAAAATGTAATTAGTCCATGTCAAGATATAAATGAAGAGATTACTCGGGGAAGTTTCGAAGATATGTGATTAGGATTTAATAGATGTTATATATAAATGTATTATCTAATTAGTGCATCAAATCCGTTAAATTTTCTAGCCAAAATCCCAATTTAGAAGCTGGAACCTCCTCCGAATGATTGATGATGATATCTTAACGTAGATTTATATTAGAAATCAGTCACACAGAACTGTGTAGAATTATTATTTCACAAATATAATAATTTTCCAAAATTTTCCTTCCGCCTTCCGCACTCAATTCTCTCTCTTGTTACTTGGTACCGGGGATCTTCACTTCCGGCTGCACCGCAAATCGGAAACGTTCTCGCGCGAGCACTCACGTATCAAAAAGACCGGTGTCGGCACCGCTCGAGGAGAATGGGTGAAAAGCAAGAGGAAAAAGAGAAAGGAAGTTGACACTTTCCTTCTTCGCTCTCTTCGAGAGCGCTCCCGGGAGCGGGAAACAACTCGCACGCGGACTGCCGGTGCTCGGAGAACGAGACACCGACGTTGAAGGATGACCGGAGCCCGCGTGGCGCGCGCGCGCGCGCGCACTTCCGAAATTGCGATTCGCGCTCCTGAAACTCGCCGGCCGAAAAAAGGGATAATCGCTAGGAAAAGAGCGGCTCTCGAGCGAGGTTTATTATTGGACGAGATGTGGATCGGCGATGTTCACGAGCGTGACCAGTCAAGATGCTGGTGGAGAACAGAGAAAAGAGAGTATTTTTTTCACTTTTTTGTTACGCTAAAAAATAGCCTCTCGCAGATCACAACATACTTCTCGTCGAAAGAGCGAATCGCAACGTGAACACCCAAAAGAATAGTCACATTTATAGTTTGTACAATTAAATGGACGATAAATTAGGAATTCTCTAACCGGTTCGCGAATAATAGTTTACCGATTATTTTCTTTGCGTCAATCAACGATCGCGAAGTGATGCCAATTGTAGATTCGCTGAGAAGATCATGTGTGGGTGTATCGCAGATTCCTCGGGAGAATATCTTTGATGTGTGATTTTGGAGCGGTATAATCACGCGGTCGTCGAGTTCTCGTGGGCGAGAAATGAGCGTGTCGGTTACATCGATTTCGCGGTGTCGCAAGGCGAGACCGCGTGCATTACAATTACGCCACGCGTTAGTCACGTGTGTATTTTAGTCAACGCGGATACGGCAATGCGAAGGGTTCGTAATGATTTCACCGCGTTGCTTTTAGACGCGCGTCGGTGTCGCGATTATTACTTCCGCGACGCCGTTTGACACCGTTTGACGTGATGGCGGCCACGTCAGCTCTCATGGAGAAGTCACCAGGGAGATATTCGGTAAAGTTTCAATGTGATTCCAGGAATACCAAGGCCTCTTCACCGTTTCGAAGAGAAGTTGCGTGGAACACACTAATTATTTTTATATTCCGTTAAAACACAAGGAAAATGCGGGGAGACATTTGTTTGCAAAAAAGTATCAGAGAGAGAGAGAGAGAGAGAGAGAGAGAGAGAGAGAGAGAGAGAGAGAGAGAGAGAGAGAGAGAGAGAGAGAGAGAGAGAGAGAGTAGAGAGAGTAGACGAGTAGAGTA